TCGCTTCTTTTAAGGAAACAAACGAATACTTCAGTTAAAAATAATTCTTATTTTTTTAATGAATAGAACAATCAGAAATGAGTGGACATTATTATCAGCCCTTCTCCAAATCTATCTGACCTTCGGCAGTGGGGTAAATTGGCAGGTCACCTATTCTGGTTTTGTCTGTTTGATCATGTTTGTTGTCCAGTGTTGTTTGGGTTACCTCCAGTGGTTAGATTGAATTTCCGAAGTGACAGTGCAAGGCAGCCCATGAAAGTATTGGCTAGCCACAGGAAAAGAACTGAATTTACCATTTACACCACAATGTAGGCCATTTATAATGCAGGTTCTTCAATTTTGACTTCTGTCTCTAGACACTTCCTAAGTCTAGCTAGCCATAGAAAAATGGCCAAATGATAACTTTGACTCTGACTCCAATTTACTGTTGAATTAGGATTAGAGCAAAGCAATATTTCCCATTTCATTTAGCATGCAAAACTTCCTTGATTTGATTTACTGGAATTGAGTAGTTCAAAGAACTGCGAGCGTGAAATAGGATTCCACCTGTTTTCCATCAACTAGGACCTCATTCTGTGTAAGATCTCTTAAGGAATATTAAAAAGAAGGCATTGAATATACAAGTTTTATGAAAGCCCTGTTCAAATCATGAAACATATTTCTTGTTAAATTAATTTAAATAGCAAATTTAGCAAACAAGGTGCCTGTTCTTTAGAAGTATATTTTCTCTTCAAATCAGGATGATTTGAAAATTAGTGAGAAAATCCATTTTAAAATGTACCTTTCCGTGTTGCTTTTCATCCTAAAATTAAAGCACAAAGCTTTTAGTATGAATATGTGTGTGTGTTTGTGTGTATATATATGTAAACAGACACAGATGCAAATATTTTCATCTATTTTCCTGCGTGGGGCTATTTGCCCTGAAAAAATAAAGCATGATTTATGTCCTTCTGTATGGCCTCTGAAATAATTTTTACAGTGAGATAACTTAAATATAAGCAATTTTAAAGCTATTAATCTTCTGGTAACTTCTTCATAAATGCAGCCACTGATGATTTACCATAAAACACAAATCGTCAACTTTTAAGATATGAGCTAAACTTGCTTGTTCAGATTTGGGCATAGATAAGAAACCTGAATATTTAAGCAAGACACACTCTCATTTAACAGTTGCTCAGAGATTTAAATAAGGCAGAATGATTGTCTATCATAGCTCATAATAATGCTCTTAAATTTAGAGCTCCAAATACCCCCACTTACCAGTCGGCATGGCTCTCAAAACTTCAGCCTGAAAATCTGCAGCTGTGTTTATGTGGTAATTTAGAAGCCCTATTACATGTGCAAGCAACCGGGCTCCGTGACTTAATCACAATTCATTCATTCTGCTTTTTTTTTGTATCAAAGAAATAAAATCAGAGAACTATATAGCATTATGGCCAGCTTTTAAAAATCACAAAAATCAGGAGATTGAAAATTATAGTCACACACACACACACACACACACACACACACAACATCAATCTTTTCCTTTCCCCATTAAATAAAGTTTACAACAGAAATTCCAGATATATGGAGTTAAGGTGTGCGGTTCAGCTCAGCAAATATTTATTAAGGCAATAAAAAAAAACAAAAAAAAAACATGTTATCATAACAAGATAAATTAAAGCATGAGTAAGACAGGCCTCTTACCCTGAGGATTTTGGAGTCTAACTGAAGATATTTGGAATCAAACAGTGAGTGTGTGTGTGTGTGTGTGTGTGTGTGTGTGTGTGTAGGTAGGTAATATTCTTTATGGAGACACCAACAAACAAACCAAGTTTGTTTCCAGATATTAATAAAATTTTCTTTTGGGGATAGTCTAGATCTGTGCGATCCATAAAACTTGTGATTCACATAGCAACACTTTCCAAAGTATTTCATTATTGTCTAGATCCACATTGACCCTAGCGAAAGTATATGTTGTTCATTTCACTATATGTAATAGCCAGATTCTGAAAAGTTGTATTAAAATTTTGTTTTTGTGTAAATGGAACACTATTTTAATAATACTTAATGATTAATTCAATTTTTATAAAAATCACATTCTAATTTAATTTTTACAAAGCTGAGCTTTTCTCATATTATTTTGCTTGTCATATATGTGTGTGCATAGGATGAAGAGAATGTACTGGCTTAATGCATAAAAAATTTTATTCAGAAACATTCAAACATGTTTTTAAAGGTGATATAGAGAAGTGAAACTTTTATAATTATATTGGAGCATAAGCAAGGCTGTTTCCAATTTGCTCCTGGGTTGCATTTCAGATGTTAAGATGATTGGAATGCAAAAGTTTCTACTGGAAACAACCTTTTACATGCTGGGTTTTCAAGAAAGCACTAAAAAGCAATTCGTTTATCTAAGGCAAGGCTCTGTAGTAATTTTTCTTCAACAGTTTTTTTCTTTAACTTTTGAGTGCTTCAAAAGAGGGAGGGCAATAGCCTTCTTCTTCCTGCACCTCAGTAGGGAGAACCTTCTCAACCTCTAAGTCACAGTGATGGCTAAGCCCGAGCTCCTGAGATGATGGGAGAGGTGACTGGGAAGGAAGGCCTGCAGGACAGAACACCTGAGCTGGGAGGGATGCGAAGGTGGGGTAAACAATAAGGGACCTTTTGCTTTCTTTTCTAAGCAGCTATAGCAAACCTCTATTACTGAGATTAATGAAAGAAAAAGAAACATCAAATAGAATGACTTCATTTATATACTTTTTAGCTAGCTAACTAGATAGATAGATAGATAGATCTATCGATAGATAGATAGGTGATAAATGGGTGGATGGACAGACAGACGAATAGAAGCTTTAGAGTCATAGGAAAAGATAAAGGTATGCATTCAGTGTACATCCAGTAGCTACAAGCCTGACCACAAAGTGATCTCTGATTTGCTACTTGGCAGTTGCATGATTTGGGGGAAGTACTTAAACCTGTCTAGGTTCCAGGTTCCCTATCAGGAAAAAAAAAAAAAAAAAAGGAGATAATAATAGTACTGAGCTTATACAATGTGTTAAATGAGTAATTGAGATAATCCATATAAAGTGCACAGCACAAGTCCAGACATAGGAAACAGCAGCAGCGTTTCATGGCACATAGTTGAAGGCTGCAGGGATCAGAGAAAACCATATTCAACTAGAGATCAGTTCCAGTTTAACCAGATTTGTGACCTGGAATAGGTCATTCAATTTCCTTGGGACTCAATTTCCTCAGGGAAAATGAGGGGATAGGTATAGATAAACTAGTGCTTCGTACATATTAATGTGCATAGACTCACCTGAGGATCTTGTTAAAATGCAGACTTTGATTCAGCAGATTTGGGAGTAGAAGTGGGAGACTCAAGATTTCGAACTTCTAACAAGCTTCCAGAATGAGGCTGATGCTGCTGTCCTAAGTATCATGGTTCTTAAACGTCAGTGTGTACAGGAATCAACTGGATCGTTGGACCCCGCCTCCCAGGAACTGATGCAGTAAAGAGGTCTTGGGTGGGGCCCAAGATTTTACTGGATCTGGAGACCACACTTTGCAAACCACAAATCTGCAAAATTAATTCACGTAACTAGCATGATTAAGGGGTAAGGAATCCCTAGCAAATGAATGTTCCATATAACCTCAGGTGGGACACTTACTTATTTCAACTCATTTTAATGAAAACTTTCTAATATGTATCATTTTTATTTTTGTCTTTATGAGCAGGTGCTCTTAAATATGTAAATTTACTTTTGGACTGAAATCACCAAGTAGTTAATTTTTATTCCAGAGAAGATGATAAAGTATGGCTTATGATATAGGAACTTAAGATCCATGCAAATATTTCTAGAATGTATTTCTAAAGGGACAGTCACAGGTCCATAAAAGAGATAGTGGTGAAACTTAGGCATCACCATGAGTTCCCTGAGAATAAGTATCTCAGGCTAACTTTATTATTATTTTTTATTGTTACAATTGCTAGATTGCTAAATTAGAGAAATGATGCACACATATTGGACTAGCCAGGAGTACGAGGCAATGTGAATGGGTGTTGAGTTGGAAGAGTGTCATCCTGGGTAGAATTCATATAGTGTGCCAGTGGATTCTACCCTCAGTCTTGTCTTACTCTTCCTCAATTTGGATGTAAACATAGGTGGCAAACTGAGCCAGAATATCTAACATTTCCGTCCCTCATGGGTGTTAAAACACAGACAAGAAGACCACTTGATAGAAATGATGGAGAAAGAGTTTGGAAGCTTGTAAGGGAGGCCACGGTAGACTTTGAGCCCCTCCCACCCAATGCAGAACTGTGCTTCTCTGACAGTTACGATCACTTCTTATGATATGTGGTACAATAGCCAACATAGGTAGGCAACTGCCTCAGAGTCTTTGGTCTTTGTCACCAGGATGACAGCAAATTAAACCTAATTCCCAACACACTCATTGCTGCCCTCCCAAGTTTTACCCCTTCACGTGTTTTCTTCCTTCATCCTGTCCCTAGATTGTTCTTTCAAGTCTGCAGAGATATGCAAAACCAGGTAACCAAACGTGATAAGAAATATAACTGCAACAAAAGTAAGCAGATCAGTGAAGAACATGACCACCCTTTGTGGGGTTTGGCTTTAGGGTCTCAGAGGGTGTTTTTGCTCCCATGTATGTTCCAGGAAAATGGAATTACCCAACTTTTAGCCTCCAGAGCTGTTGGATGTTCACTATAATGAGATTCAACCTCTATTCAGTTATCATTCACATTTCAGAGTAAACTGTTCATTTTATCTAAAATTGACTCACAAAAAGGTTGCTACAAATGAATAGAAGATGAAATAGCATCATGCTATATGTTCTGCTTGAATGTATTTGTTGTTCAATTAAATTGGGTTACAAGCTCAATGTTAAGCCAACTGTATACATCTATATGTACATACTCTACAATCACAGATCTCTCATTTGTTATTGCCAAGGGGATAATTCCTAATGGCAGATGGAAAAAATTGTTTTTTTAATATTGTATCAATAAAAATACCAGGTTGAACATGCACAAAGCCAAGAAAACCAACATTATGCCAGATTCTGAATTTATATCACACTGTCCTTTGAACACCCCAGCAGGAGTAAGCTGCTAAATGCAGATATCACACAGTGCAAGAAAAAATGTTTTAGACAGGAGTTCAGAGGAAACTCAAATAATTCTCATTTTACTTCACTACTTTGTTTGACATCTTCTCTCCCTGAGTGGCACCATATTAGTGAGGACTCTTTTAACAGTATATCAGTTTTATTGGATAGAATGTCTAATTCACACTTATCTCCCATAGTCAATGGGTTCTTAAGTCAAGGCTAGGTTGGGGTCAGACAGGTTTTTCATTTGTAATAATCTGTCAATATTCCACTAACTCAGGCTTTTATTTTTGAGATAAACATTTTGCTAACTAGTCATGGGTCATGTAAGCATAGTAACAACTCCTTGATAATTTATCATCATTGGTCAGCTGACCTTCATGGGTAAGCCAGGTCCTCCCTTCTCGCATGATTTCATGGTATTGGCAGTAGCAGTAACTACGTATTCCTTTCTCTCATCCACAACCTGAGAGAATGAACCTGCTTTTTAGAGTCCTTTCAACCTGATTAGGTTATATAACTGCTGATGTATTCTGAAAAGATGGATTGTTTTATTTGTACTTTTTCCACTGAGTAATAGAGTATCATGTGGGTAAGTCAAGAGAAAAGTATGAAATTACAAATTTAAATACACTGGCTCTGTATTCAGAGACCTTTATAAAAGGGAATGGGGTGATAGTTATTCAGATACATTCCAGGGGTACTGTGTATTTCCTAGGTTATCAATTTCCTCAGCTACATTTTTAGGACTACTGCCAAACAAAATAATTGTAGATAATTCATATAAATATGCTTTTTTATTTCTTTGCAGCAACTTTTGTAAAAATCGTTTGATTTCTTGGTTCAATCATTTCTATCCATTGGACAGTTTGTGAGAAGTATATTACTTGAAATGGCATGCTTGCAGAATTGTTTTTTCTTTTCCTGTATTTTAACAAAAACATTGTTTTAATTATATTAAATTGTTTTAGAATACAAGTGGGTTCAATAGATTAAGTAACATATTATTAATAAGCCCGATATTTTCTCTCTTCTCTGTAAGCTGCTGAAACATGCTGGTAAGGAATTTCTTAATCTAGGAAATCATTTCAGCAGCAAAGTTCAAAGTTTCTGACAATGGAAGGTAGAAACAGTGGTTCTCAACTGGGGATGAGCTTGCCCCCTAGGGGACATTTGGCAAAGTCTGGAGACAATTTTGATGGGGAAGAGGAGAGGAGGAGGGAGGAGAGGAGGAGGAAGAGGAGAAGGAAGGGGGGAAGTGGATGTATATGCTACTGGAATCTGGTGGATATGGGTCAGGGATGCTGCTCGACTCCCTACAATACAAACACAACAAAGATTGACCCAGCCTGGAATGTCTGTGTTTCTGAGATAGGGAAACCCTGGTCTAGAACCTTGTTTTAAATACAAATGCAAATGAAAACCATTGAGGTAGGCTGAACTTTACATGCTGGACCATTGCCCTTTTCAAAGGTGAGAATGTAGCAACCCTAGAATAAGAACTCAACCTCGGATACAAGAAGAAAGGAAACCTTTGTTCCTTTGTGTTCCAAGTCTCATTAAGAAATACACATGCATGAACCATTCCAGTATAATGATTCATGACCACATGTTCTTTAGTTCCTACAAATTGTCTTATTTGTTATGCCTAGCTTTAATATGCTGTAAATTAGGGTATGGTATCACCACCCACCACGAAATTTGTGCTTCCCTTTTCTAATAGTGCATAAGCTGATGGTTGAATGTGGCCTTTAACTTATTAAAGTATATGCTATCCGTCTGCTTTTTATTCTGCTCATAGAGCACAATAAAACAGGGTGATAATTTAAAGCAGATGTTCTTCTAAACTATTTTTGTGTTCAAACCTAGCAATGTGACAAAAGAAAACACTGAGAAACTTTGATGGGGCTTCAGGATAAATATAAATAATATATTTCACAATGATTTGAATGTCAATTCCTTCTTTTTCGGGATACATTCTGGTGTGTCCCCTGACCACTTCATTCTTTCATTCTGTCCTACTTACCCACCGCTTTAATCCTGACTTGATCCTGGTATATATATCGTTCCTAAACACTTCTTCCCACTAACCACTGCTGGATATTATAAAACCCTTTCTTCTACCTTAGAGTGTAAGCAAATAATCTTGGCTAATTCACTTAATTTCTTCCAAGTCTCGGTTTCCTCATCTGGAAATGGGAATACTTCTACTATCTCTCTGAGAGGGTTGTTGTGTCTAAGTGGGAAAGTGGAAACTCAGAAGGTGTCTGGCACATAAAATAAAGCTGTTATTTCCTTTTGAAAAAAATCAAAGCAGGGTTTTGAAACCATATACTCATCAAACATTTAAGCACCTTTAATGTATTTGATACTATTCTAGGTGCTTGGGCTACTTCAGAAAACCAAGCAGACAAACACAAACATGGAACTGGCGCACACACACAGGTAAAAACACAAGCACACACAATGATAATAGAAACATCCTGCAGTTCTCCCCTTAGTTTAGAAAATAAATGAGAGTAAGTTCTCCGCCTCCAGTTGGCCAAAATGGCATGGTCAAAGACAGTTACAGAATTCTGAAGGAACACCTTTCTTTCAAATACTATTTCTTTGTGGGTTTAAGGAAAATTAAAGTATATATTTTTAAATGTGAAGATGATCTTTCCTAAGAAAAAAATCATACATAATGACAATAGGTACCAAACCATGGGGAAGGAGGGAATCGGCTTTTTAGATACTATTTTAATAGCTGGCAAGATAATAGAAGGAGAAATATATCCACAGAAAATTTACTTATTGCTTTTGAAGATGAAAATAAACAATTCATAGATTGCAAACAGACCAACTGAATGACAGGGCAACACAACTGCTAAAATATACAAAAAAGGGGAATAAAAACTCATTACAGAATACATGAGCCTTCCATGAGTTTTTAGTAGGAATTCTTTTTCTGTCTCAGAGCTTTGCTGTCTCTTTGCCTGAAATAATTCCCCTGCCTCTCTTCACCTGGATGGCTCCTGTTCATCCCTTAGCACCTAGCTGAAATGTCCCTTTTGAGAGAGACCTTCCCTGACTCCCCCATCTAAATTAGGTGCCTTCACCCATCACCCTCCCTTATTCATCCTTTCTTGTCTGTCTGTCTGTCTGTCTGTCTGTCTGTCTGGATATATTTTTAGATGTCCATCCACCCTACTTGATTCAAAGCTCTACCAAGGGTGAGATCATTTTACATTTTTCCACCATGATTTTCCAAAACCTGACACCTGACTCCTACTTAGTCCCCAGTGAATGTTTATAGATGAGATAAAAACTACTCATTCAGGGTGTACAGACTGCCAAGTACCCTGAGATAGTCAAAGCATGCTTCCTTCAGTTTTCTTGGTAAGATGAATACACCCTGCCCCTGTTGCTCTGTATGCAAACACACTGCATTATTTGGCCTTGGTGTATTTTCCCTGCGTATGTGGCATAAAATGAAAACTCCGTGGTATGGGAATGAATCCCTGTAGGCCAAGCAAAGAACCAGGGATAGGTAAGGCTTCTTGGAGGATGTTCTCCAATTACAAGAGGAGAGGGAAAGGACGCAGGATTGTTCTCATTTAGAACTTCTGAAGCTGGATGTTTGCCTCTAAACCTCAGCCATCTGCCTCAGTCACATCCTAGCAACATGGCATTGCCCATTCTCCTTCCAGAGGTGGAGCCTATTTTTCCTTCCATCCAATCTATATTGAACATCTGACTTGCTTTGACCAACAGAATGTTAGCACATGTGACATAAGCAGAGACTTGAGAGTCCGTGTGTTTGGGGGCTTGCTCTCTTGATGGTCTCTGGGCCTTGAGGCCACCATGTGGAGCAGCTGATGGGGAGCAAAGCTGACCCATCACAGCTGAGGGCCTCTCAGGCTGACCAGGCTGACAACCACAAAACACGTGAGTGAAATGATCATAGATTATGCAACCTCAAATTAAGGAACTGCCCAGCTACCCCACACAATCATGAATAAAAGTAAATGATTTCCGCTTTAAGCCACTAATTTGGAGAGTGGTCTGTTAGTCAGTCAAGGCTAACTAATACAGTCACAGATAGCATGTTACTATGTGACTGGCCCAAAGTCTACTGATTGTAAGTCTGGCACTAGTACCCTAAGATTGTCCAAGGTATAAAAAGGGACTTCCTGATCCAAAGTTTGGGAATCACTGCATTCTAAAGCATTTTCCACTTTGAGATTCAGAAAACAAACTGTATATTAAAAATTCTGAGGAGCCATACAGTATAAGAAAATAAACCTGCTTTTTAAAAAAATGCTAAAGACACCCTCCCCTTTCAAAATTTTATGACCTCTTAGCATCACAGTCTTGGCATTATCATCATTGCTGAAACCCTGTTCTGAATGTAATGGTAAGGGGACTGGAGAAGTACTGTGAGGTCTTGGTTCTGGTTCAAGATGTAGCATTTACAAACTGTAGAGCCTTTCATAAATCTAATTTGGTAAAATTAGATAAAAGGAGACACATAATTCCTGCCCTTCTAGTTCATCATCAACCTATTCATGTCACCGTGAATGGAAATTTAAATGATGCGTGACACTTTGTTTTCTGTACTATATTCTGTTTTTGATGAGTCGTGACAACTCTGAAGTGGCAAATCATTCATTCATCTCAAAATCTTTTTTGAGAGCCTGCTTTAAGTCAGGTACTATTCTGAGTGCTGGGGATATTAGTGAAAAAGTCTCTATGGCAGCTTGTATTCTAATGGAGGAGGTAGACTATAAATCTGCAAAGAAATAGCTAACATAATGCAAGATGGTAATAAAAACTGGGAAGCGAAACAGACTAAAGGGCTAGAGCGGTGGTTCTTAAACTTCAACTTGAAGCAGAATCACCTGGTAGATTTGTTAAAATCCACATGTCTAGGCCCATCTCCTAGAGTGTCTGTTTTAGTGAGTCTCAAATGGTAACTGAGAATTTTCATTTTTAACAAATTCCCAAGTGATGCTGCTGCCATTGGTGGAAGCATCATGTTTTA